AAAAAAACCCGCCTGGCTCGGGCAGCCGTGAGAAGTCAGGCTGGCAGGCGTGGCCGTGCTCGGAATCTGATTAACCGCCTCCAAAGAACCACACGGGGAAGCGGGGATGCACTAAAACTCCGCTTTTGGGAGGAGCTGGAGCGAAACTTCAGTTTTCCTCAGCGTTTTCAGGCAGGAAGAGCTCATCGCCGCGTAAAAACTTGCCTTTCCTCGCATCTCCTCGAAGCACGTTGCTGCCAATTTCGGCAGCAGTTGACATCGTGTCTTGGGCAACCTGCAAGCTCAGCAGCTTGCGGGGAGGTGTGTTACGCACTCGCTAGCCAAGTGTTAAGTGCTGTAGTAATATTTTCCCCCACCTTGTGCTCCTGCTTGGAGAGATCTCGCTGTAGGTTTCGAGGCTTCGCTGTCCTCCCTGGGCGCTGGGGAGGCTGAGGTGTTGTGAAGGTCGTGGCGTTGTCCCTCCTGCTGATGGAAAACCGGCGTTCTCTGAGCTCGCAGCGTCTTGCGTCGGGCTCATCTGTTATTGATCTGATCTATTTATAAACGCTTCGGATCAAAACAGCTTATGCAGAGCAGCCACCCTCTGTTAATTGATATTCTTCTCTTGAGCCTGGGCTCGTTTTCAGCCTCGAAATGGGCGAGCGATGTGCTGGTACAAAGGCGAGCGGAGTCCTGCGCTCCTCCCTCGCCCCGGGATTTATTGTTTCTGGGCTCGTGCCAGCTACGGGACAGCAGCTCGTTACCGGGGCCTCTCCGGGTGACCTTGAAATTCTCATTCCTGAGGCGCTCACGTTTCAAAAGGACGGGGAGGGGGGCGACACACACGCTGACCCAGGCTGTCGCGGGGGGTCACGGTGAGGTGGCCATGACCCCGGCTGACATCTGCGGAGAGAAACCGCTCCCTCACGCACGATTCGCGTTCACGTATTGGCCACGGAGCTTCTAACGAGCGGCGCTTTACGGTTTGGTATTTCCAGATTTACACTTCAGCCGAGGTTGGGTGAATCTTGTCTGCTCCTCTCATTGCCACCTCATTTCCCCTCATTAACAGAAAACACCCCCCCTCAATCACTTGTCGCTGTAGTGTAGTTTACGAGCTCCCCTTCGACACAACAGCATGAGGACAGGTTAATAATCCACGCAGTAAGACACGCTAGCTGTGACAGCTCTGCAGAGAGTAGGTAACTCCTCCTGAACCGGCGGCGGGCTGACTGCTCCCTGCCTCGCTCTTTTCCGTGCAGGTTCCGGCATGACCGAGCTGGACGGGCTGATCGGCGCCGAAGAAAAAGTGATTAACAGCAAGAACAAAGTGGACGAAAATGTGGTGAGCCCTCCGCCTTTTTCTGGGGAAGCAGAGCCTGCCGTTGGACGCTCATTAACAGCGGTGGCTGAGTTCCACCGGCTCCTTCCTGCTTCCAGAATGTCAGCGCATTTGTTGTCCATATGGTGTGGGGGAGTTGAGTTTTCTGACTGTTGTAGGCTCTTAACTCTGATTAAGCATCAGAGGGGTGGGAGGGCGAGGGAAGGAGAGCTTCGGCGGTGTGAGCTGGAGAGCTGCCTCCTTTAGCAACTGCTTTACCTTTGATAGTTTTAACTGGGTGGCTCGCTGTCTGAGTGCACCCAATGCTGGTGTGTTCCAGCTGTCTTCCCACCTATTTTTCCTGGCAAGAAAGGCCTCACCTTCTTCTGAAGGTGACCGACCCAGCGGATATTAGCTGTATCTATAGCGTCCAGAATTTACTAGGTTATAGTGGCAGTCGCCTTGCCTCGGTTCCCTGGGTTTGAAAATAAAAAAAAGTAAAAATCGATTTGTGAGAGTCTGATCAAAAATATCGTAAAGCCGCAGGTTAGACCTGACACAACAGAAATGCTGTGGCTGAGGCCAGGACCTCGTTTTTGATTTGGATCTTTAGTCTGTGCACATCCGAATGGCTGCAGTCCTAACTCGGGTGGCTTTAAAGGGTGGAGAATGCTGCTGAGGGCAGGGGAAAGGTGGTTCCGAGCCTTTGCTGGTCAAAGGTCTTGTCTGCTTTTTATTCCTTCTCCCGCCTCTTTCGTACAGCTCCTTTCATAAAACTCTTCTGCGACCGTTTCCAGGTAATCGATGAAACCCTCGACGTGAAGGAAATGATTTTCAACGCCGAGCGCGTCGGCGGGCTGGTGGACGAGCCGGTACGTACCGATCCCCGGCGATCAGCAAATTCCTGAAGCTGGGTTTCTCCTCCTGGGTGCTGCCAAAGTTGGGCTCTGAGAGGTCAAAGACCTCGTTGGTGGCCACTTTTGAACTTGAGCTTCCCCAAACCGCTCCGTTTTCTTTCTCTTCCCTCCAGGATAACGACAACTCCCTTCGGGATGACTTCAGTTTCAGCAGCAGCGCCCTCATCGGCCTCCTGGTGATCGCGGTTGCCATAGCTACCGTCATAGTCATCAGCTTGGTGATGCTGAGGAAGAGGCAGTACGGGACCATCAGCCATGGGATCGTGGAGGTGAGAAACGAGGATGAAAATGGCCGAGTGGGGAAAAATAGTCGCAGTGGGGAAAAATAGTCGCAGTGGAGTGTGGATGTGGCGGTAGCTGCCGAGCTCTGCTCCCGGCGAGGTGGGATTTAACCCTGGAGGTGCTGATGTCTTCATCTCTTCCTTATTAGCAAGCGGGTATCGGACCTGTCACCTCACAGTTGGGTTTGTTTATCACAGAGAATTCAATTAGGCTTCGCTGTCTGGCTCAGGGTGGGATTTAGCAGTAAATGAGCTTTTCAGGCGATATCTTTAGCAAGTCAGTCAGTCTGCGGCAATTTGTCCTCCCAGCTAAGGGAGTGACTGTTAACGGCAGTTGAGCGCTGAGGAGCGGTTCCTCCTCCTCCCTGCTGCTCCCAACGTCGCACGTTTCGATCGGCGGCTTTATGGAGCCTGGAGATTTTTTTGGCCCAACCCATGTGTGAAATCGTAACGACCTCTTTAATGAGAGAAGCGAGTCCCAAACTGGTGCCGTTGGCTGACTTAATGGAGGTTGGTGGAGAACATCCCTGAGGAGGCAGGAGCCATTAGCACCCGAACGAGGAGCTCTGTTAAGCAAATGATTTTTCTGGTGATTTGCTTGTTTGTTTTTTTTTCCTTCCTGCACGCTGCTTTTTTGCTTTATTCATCCCGCATCTGTCTGTCGTTATAATTAAATAAGACCTGCTTTGACCGGTGTCTGCTCTTTCTAAAGGTCGACCCGATGCTTACCCCAGAAGAGCGGCATCTGAGCAAGATGCAAAACCACGGCTACGAGAACCCCACTTATAAATACCTGGAGCAGATGCAGATCTAAAAGAGATGAAGATACAACAGCCCTGAGCGGGAAGAGGAGCAGGGCGGAGGGCCAAAGGGGTCCAGCGTTTTGGATCGACTACTGACCAACAGTTGCTTCGAGAGGACTTCATCTTACATTCAGAACTCCTGGATCATTAAGACTATAATTACTACTGTAGAGTTGCAATTTCCATTCTTTTAAATGGGTGAAGAAATGATAATATAACGATATGATATATAAATCTCCTTACATGGGAAAAATGGATCTATTGCAGATATTTGACTGAGATGTAGTTTTCCTTTTTTTTTTGGTTTTTTTTTTTAAATAATCTGAAAAAAAAGATACCAGTTCCGTTGTACTGTTGTCTGATACGAGCTCTATATATATATAAAATGGGAAAATGTTGATTTTTATTTCCAATAGACCACCTGTATATTGAGGGTCATCTGTACCAGCCCGCCTTGTAAAAAGGAGACAGTTGTGGCTCTTCAGTCATTTTGGCTTTTATATATAAAGCAGTATTCTTTTTTTTTTTTTTTTTTTTTAAAGTGGGAGTTGCAAAGAGATTAATTTAGGGATAGGAACTTTGACAGCGTAAGCGAGGGAAGTAATTGGGAACGGTAACTAACAAAAGTCCTTATAATGAGAAAAAAAAAGAAAAAGAAAAAAAAATAAGAAAAAAAATCCCCATCCTCATACGCCAGTGGTGTGCACCCTGCTGCTTAGCAGTTCGGGCTCTAGGAATCAAGACTCCCTGGAGGCAAGGAGTTAAAAGGCTTCTAGCATCTCTCTTCGTAGTTCTTCTTGTGGAATGTTAGAACATGGTTTGTGCATACTGGGGTCTGCACATTCCCCTTCCAGATTACTCAGTTACGCTCTAGAGGTGGGAGTTCCTGGTCTTGAATTTTAAATCCTCGGTTTGGAACCAGTTCCCTTCAGTACTCACCTGGCATTAACCGCCCCTTCTCGCTCCTGCTCTCTCATTTTCTCCTGCCTCGCCGGCCTGGTAAGTAGGATCGCGGGATGAGGTGGGTTGGAAGGGACCGTCACGCTCGTCTCTTTCCAACCCCCCTGCCGCGGGCAGGGACACCTCCCACTAGACCAGGTTGCCCCAAGCCCCGTCCCGCCTGGCCTCAGACGCTTCCGACGTCTCTGGGCAACCTGTTCCGGTGCCTCGTCGCCCTCACGGGGGAGAATTGCTTCCTAATTCCTAATCTAAATCTTCCCTTTTTCAGTTGGAAACCGTTACCCCTCGTCCTATCGCGACACTCCTGGCTAAACAGTCCCTCCCCAGCTTTCCTGTAGCTCCCCCTTAAATACGAGGAGGTCTCCCTGGAGCTTTCTCCAGGCCGAACCCCAGTTCTCCCAGCCTGTCCTTCAGCCCCCTCATCGTCATCTCCACAGCCTCCTCTGGACCCTTTTTGTGCTGAAGACCCCAGAGCTGGACGCAGAACTGCAGGTGGGGTCTCAGCAGAGCTGAGCAGAGGGAAAGAACCGCCTCTCTTAACCCATTTTTGAGCTTTTGCATCTTTTTTGGTGATGCCAGGCCGTCGGCTGTTTGCCCGGCCGTGACAAGGGGCTGCAGGAATCGGTACCTTGGGAGCTGAGGAACGTTCACGTCACCCGGGGAGGGAAGAGGGACAAGTTGGGAAAGGGGTACTGCCTGCTTGAAGGGAAATTGGATGCGTAGGCCCCCCAAAAAGAACAAAAACAGGGGTGTTACTCCACTCACCATCATGTCTTTGTAATGCTTGTATAGTTGGTGTTAATGCTCACGGCTTTTTTAAATCTGGAGGTTCTGGTAACCTGTGGTGTATTTTTTTCTATTTTTTCCTGTGACTTTATTTTATTTTATTTCTTTCTTCCCCTTTCCGTGTCTCTTCCCACTATGCACAGATTTACCTGCAAACTCCTTAGTGTGGTCTGTGGGGAATGTACAAAGTTTAAACACATCAATAAACACTTTAACTTCCAGCTCGTTTCTTCTCTTTATTCACCGCCTCGCTCAAGTTTCTCCTTCCTCCCGCCGCCTCCTTGCCCAAACCTTTATTTTTTTTTGCCTTTTTGTGCTGGTATTGAGAAGGTTGTAGCTGTGCCCAGAGTCTCTCGTGGTTATTTCCAGATCCTGCTGACCTTTGCGATGAGAAGGAGGCGTGAAACTACCCTGACGATCCCGTCTTCGCGCCGCAGCCGGAGAGGTAGGAGAAAACTCGAAGCCTTGGCGGTTCTGAGCAGGAACCGATCGTGTGTCCCTGGGCTCCTCGGTTCCACTGGAACCTCCACGGTCTGGTTAAATTATTCAGACTCTGCAGGAAAGAACAGATGCTGCCCTAGAAAATGCCGTCTGTTGGCTCGTCACGACGACTTGGGAAAGAGGTTTTTTTGATGCGCAAATTTCATTTCAATGATGCCAGAGCGTATCTCCAGTCCAAAGCTGTTTCTTGGACTGTACCCTCAGGTGGGGTGACCTGAGAGAGAAACAAATCATGGGGGCTGGGGATTGAATTCCAGAATTGGAGTATTAGAGGAGGTTTTTTAACCTTTGATAAAATTCTGTTAGTCCCTCTTAACCTTTTGAATGTGTTTGCTCTTTGCCTTGCAACTTCTGCTCATGCCGGCTGTTCCTTGCAGGTGTCTGCGCTCCGAGAAAAGTGATTTTTTTCCCCACCCTGTAAGCACGAGAGGCTCCCTCTGACGACTTCTGAGACTTCCAGCGGTTTGACTGGGGAGCTGCAGGTTTTCCTCCGTCTCGGGAACTGCAAGGTCCTCGTCGTGAGGGTGAGAGGTACTCTTCTTGTAAGTCATAGTTGCTCTAGGAAGCTGCAAAACTTACTCCTCTAAGAGGCTGAGGGTGGTTTTTTATTGTGCTGCTGCTCATGCAGATTGAGGTTGTGAGTTGGGTCAAATATCTCTTCTGGATAGTGTCGGAGCGATTTAATGTGTCCTCCCGCAGGCGCTCGGAGGTGAAGGGATCTGTCTAGCAACAGGAAGCTCCAAACAGGGAAACTCTGGTCTCTTGGATGGTGCCACGTTACCAAATGCGAAGTAATAATTGTTTTCTTCAACGCTGCCTTTTTCTTCCCTTATCCCTGGGTTTGGGGGTCGCAAAAAACTTTGTGACGTATTAGGTGAGGTCAGTGCAGTGTAAAGGTGAATTCCTGCTCTGTGCTAACAGGAAAATTGCTTTTTTCTCTGTTAATTAATTCCTGCCCTGGGTAAATGCGCTTGTTGGCGCGCGGTTCTTTGTTCTAGGGCTGCTGATGGTGCGGTGTGGAGAGAGGGGTGCTGAGTGTCGCTTGTTAGTGTCTCTTTTTCCGATGTAAGGAGCTCATCTGCTTCACAGGCTTCGAGATTTTTCTCTTCTCCCGTGAAGCCGCTAAGCCTGGGCCTGGAGAACGGCTCGTTGCCAGGTGAGCACTTGCACACTGGAAAAAAAAACAACACCCCAAACATTTAGGGCAGTTTGGGTTCCTTTTGGCCCGACTTTTGCTTTTAGCGCTTGCTGGCGACGCGATGTTTGGACTGAGCGGTGTCACAGACCCACGCCCCGGCTATTCGGTGTAATGATCCCTTTTGTACACAGCTTTTTTCTCTATTTTGTGCCTCTGCTCATAATTCTGGGAGGTTTTTTTGCCTTTCTCTGTTTTTGCAAGGTGAACAACGTGAAGCGTCCGTCATTTTTCAGGATGAAGGACAACAGATGAGAAGAGCCCTTGTTGCATGTTTTTGGTTTATTTTACTTCCAGGCCTCTTTCTTTTTACTTATTTATAAAAAAAATAGAGAGCACTTGAATTCCCTGTGACCCAAAATCAGTTTTCTTTTCCAGCAGCGCAGCGATGCAGCCCATTATTCTTGGGTTTTAAAATTCAGGACTTCGAAATTGGTTGAGTTCTTTGAGGTGTTGTTGACTTTTAGAGCCTGGACTGAGCCCATCCCGAAACGCAGGACTTAAAAATATTTCAGCCCTGCTCATGAAGAAGAAAGAAGCTTCAGCACCGAGATTCTCTTTGGTTTTTTTTTTTTAAAACGCAGGACTTGGAATTTTGCTGACTTGAAAAAGCGTCGTTAGTCCTTTTAAACTTATATATATATATATAT